TGCACCTCTGCTCTTCACTGGTTCTATTCTACATTTTCTTCCATGTCGTTCACTCCAGTACGTTGTTATTTTACTGTGTAGATTTGGTACTTGGCCCTCCAGTATCTTCCAGGTGTATATTATTTGATATCTCTCTCGTCTTCTTTCTAGTGAGTACATTTGGAGGGCTTTGAGACGATCCCAATAATTTAGGTGCTTTATTGCGTCTATGCGTGCCGTATATGTTCTCTGTATTCCCTCTATTTCAGCAATCTCTCCTGCTCTGAAGGGGGAAGTGAGTACTGAGCAGTACTCAAGACGGGACAACACAAGTGACTTGAAGAGTACAACCATTGTGATGGGATCCCTGGATTTGAAAGTTCTCGTAATCCATCCTATCATTTTTCTGGCTGTCGCAATATTTGCTTGGTTATGCTCCTTAAACGTTAGGTCGTCAGACATTATTATTCCCAAATCCTTTACATGCTGTTTTCCTACTATGGGTACATTTGATTGTGTTTTGTACTCTGTATTATGTTTAAGGTCCTCATTTTTACCGTACTTGAGTACCTGGAATTTATCACTGTTAAACATCATGTTATTTTCTGATGCCCAGTCGAAAACTTTATTAATATCAGCTTGAAGTTTTTCAATGTCCTCAGCAGAGGTAATTTTCATACTGATTTTTGTGTCATCTGCAAAGGATGTTACGAAGCTGTGACTTGTATTTTTGTCTATATCTGATATGAGAATAAGGAAAAGCAGCGGTGCAAGGACTGTACCCTGAGGTACAGAGCTTTTCGCTTTTCACAATCAGGTGTTAATACTTTTTCCCCTGACTGAACGTTTGTGTGTGTGTGTGCGTGTGTGTGTGCGTGTGTGTGCATGTGTGTGTGCGTGTGTGTGTGCGCGCGTGTGTGTGTGTGTGTGTGTGTGTGTGTGTGTGTGTGTGTGTGTGTGTGTGTGTGTGTGTGTGTGTGTGTGTGTGTGTGTGTGTGTGTGTGTGTTTCTTAGCGTGTGCGCGCTTGTGTGCATGCATACGTACGTGGGCGGGCGTGCGTGCGTGTGTCACGAGATCCCTTAAGCGTTACCTCTACCTAAATGAGCCACCCTGAGATTTTTAAATATATATGATATCCTGAACAAGAATTTGATAATATTTCACCTCAATCTGTACACCTGATTAATTGACCAGAGAGGGGGGGGGGTTACATACCAGTCTGCATCCCGTTCACACAACCAGATGAGTAAGGACGATGAATGATGACGATGGTTATCCGTCGTTGTCTCCCACTAGGTGATTCACTAAGTGCTGGTAGATTGATGATGTCGGTTCTTCTCTGTCTACACAAAGCTCTGGAGTCAGTCACTGTATCGTTGTGTGACAGTTCACTAATTTACTGTACCACTGATCACAGTCACCACTCAACAAACACAATGTGTAAGTGAGGGTGGTGGTGGTGGAGGCAACATGTGGAAGTGAGAGAGTATATAAATAACACTGTGAAGCTCGCAAGTGTTCCAGAGCCTCTACACCCGCCAAACATAATAGGTTACCCTCGGGTTACCTTGCCTTGATTTCGGGGCAGGGACGAACTCAGAATTAAATTCCGTGTTGTGCAGGAGGAAAGGTATGGACCTATGTGTTTGCTCAGACTGTTGGGGGTGGCATAGGCTTTGTGGTGCCTCGTGTAAGTCTAACAGACTCATCGTCTCCAACAATTAATCCTAATTTTTCCCCGGAATACGACCCGCAAAATTGTTTAACAACCAGGAACCCATTTTACTGTTGGGTGAACAGAGGCTACAGATAAGGATAGGCGCCCAGTAAATCCTCCCCGGCCAGGATACGAACCAAGACCAAACCGCTCGCGAAATGTGTTACCACTTCGCCACGGGGACTTGTGACACTAGCTCTCCACATAAGTCAGTTGCTTAATTTAGAAAACTGTACATGTGGTCGATCTCGAGCCCATTGTTGATGTGACAATGTGCATTGAATTTTGTAACTAGTTCATCAAGACTGTAACTTGCTGAGCTAAATGAATTGTGTGGTTCAGTCCCTGAGCCCATTATGTGCCTCTGTAACCCTTTCCACTACCGCCCACAAGATGGGTATGGGGGTTATCTTGCAGTTATCTTGAGATGATTTCGGGGCATAGCGTCCCCGAGGCCGGTCCTCGACCACGCCTCCTTTTTGTTACACATCCCCCAGGAAGCAGCCCGTAGCAGCTGTCTAACTCCCAGGTACCTATTTACTGCTAGGTGAACAGGTGCATTAGGTGATAGGACATGCGGCCAACCATTTATGTCCCGCCCGGGCAGTGAGTAGTCTCAAATTCCATATATATCTCTTATGGCCGTGAAATGATCGTATCTGGCAAGGCATTACACGTCAACACGTTACACGTGGATGAAGATAAATATGATAACATGAAACTTGTGGTGTGTGAAGGCGGAGCCCCTGGCGGCGTGCCCGCCACCGCCACCAAACCATAACACGGCAGGAGGTCAGGCCCCCATAATCCCCCACCGCCAGCCCCCCACAACCAGCCCCCCACCGCCAGCCCCCCTACCTCCAGCCCCCCACCGCCAGCCCCCTACCTCCAGCCCCCCCCACCGCCAGCCCCCTACCTCCAGCCCCCCACCGCCAGCTCCTCTACCCCCATCAACCTCCCCACAGCCCACCCGGCCACCCCTCTCAACCCGCCACCGCCCGCCACCCCCCACATGCACGCACGCGCCCTTCCCTGTTCAAATGTTCTTCCCCCCCCCCCCCCAACACCTCACCCGATCACCCCCCCCCTCCTCGCCGTAACGCTATCCGAACGTTTAAATGTTCTTAGATAAACACAACGCGTGTTTCATGGAGTTTGATTGTCTCTAAACTGTGGAATGACCTCCCAGTGAGAGTTTAAGTTGTACTCAATCAGCTTAGGAGAGAACCTGTATAACAACTACCTAATTAACATTACCTAACCAACACAGCACCGCTCCTGTGCCAGGTAAGTCCACTACGGGCTCACCATAGCCCTTGCTACTTGCCTCGCTCCTATGCCAGGTAAGTTACGGGCTCACCATAGCCCGTGCTACTTGCCCTGCTCCTGTTCCAGGTAAGTTACGGGCTCACCATAGCGCGTGCTACTTGCCTCGCTCCTATGCCAGGTAAGTTACGGGCTCACCATAGCCCGTGCTACTTGCCCTGCTCCTGTGCCAGGTAAGTTACGGGCTCACCATAGCCCGTGCTACTTGCCCTGCTCCTATGCCAGGTAAGTTACGGGCTCACCATAGCCCGTGCTACTTGCCTCGCTCCTATGCCAGGTAAGTTACGGGCTCACCATAGCCCGTGCTACTTGCCCCGCTCCTGTGCCAGGTAAGTTACGGGCTCACCATAGCCCGTGCTACTTGGAACTTGTTCCGAGTAGCTGACTATAACAACAACCTGTGCTTTGCTCTTATGGGGTGCATAATAAATGAACTAAACTAACTGCTCTTGCGAATATTAATTATTATATTTGTACTTTAGCTAAAAATTACAGTTTCTAAACATCTCTTAAAAATTTACCTGAGGGCCACAGTCTCTTTAGTGACCTCAACGAGGACAGGAAGCCGGTGGCTTGTCAAATATCCCCCTCCCCCCATTTATCCTGGTGATTTTATCTATTTGGATTTAAATGCAGCAATGTTTTGCCATTCATGGCTTATTTATTCAGTGAATAGTTCCATTAAATATTCCCTCTACCCACCATGAGAGTAAGAACATGACCGGAACATGAAGATGCCAACACAGTCGTCACTCCTCACCACGCCACGCTCACTACACCTTATTAATCTGTGTATGTTCTTCCTTTTTTCTCCCTTATTCGTCCCCATTTACATCCCCCATTCGTCCCCCATTTATGACCTATTTTCCCCCTTTACGCCATACTCCTCACCTATTTGTATTATGTACCTGACCTCCCTAATGGTATAAATCCAATACGACCAGCACAGTCCCATCCGATCAATCATTTGGAAATTTTATTCTGAGTAGTTGATTCTAAAACAACAAACATCAACATACAGTCCCATTACGGGCTCACCATAGCCCGTGCTACATGTAAATTTTGTTTCAGTAGCTGAATCTTAAACAGCAACAACAAAACAGTCCCATCACTTGAGAATGAACCATGTAGATTCGAAACGTTGTGTACATTTATAACTAGTGTAATACATTCTACAATTAATTATTCTTTTAGTTTACCTAGAACACAGATGACACTTGGAGATATCCTCTTCCAATTAAACCAAGATGCAAGAGCACTAGTCAGAGAGATAGAAGCCCTAAACAAGAAAATAATCAGAATATGCAGTCATATTCAATGAAACATGTCTAAATGAAAACCTGCTGCCAGTATACACACACACACACACACACACACACACACACACACACACACACACACACACACACACACACACACATATATATATATATATATATATATATATATATATATATATATATATATATATATATATATATATTACTATATATAATTATAAATATATATATATATATATATATATATATATATATATATATATATATATATTATATTAAATAATTTTTTATATATAATTGCTGGATATGAATGAGATGAGTTTGATCGTTGGCTAAGATATGAGTGTTTCTTCTAGCTGCGGCTGATATGTGTATATTGAGTACTGTATTATGAAGTAAGCCTCGGGCAGCAAGGTGGGAATCTACAAAATAAGCAGGTGGGTGGACAAAGAGGAAAATCTTCATATAGTTTGGTCTGTGTGTGAGTAAATGTGCGTGTGGCAGCGTCACGTGGTGACCCTTCACCCCGTCCTGCCTCTCGTCTTGACACATATACCATTCTATCCCCTCCATGTTATCATTTTGATGAGGATATGGGAGTTTTGGTGTTGAATATTGGAGTATATGTATGGGAGTGTGGCCGGGGGTGGGAGGGGTGCGGGAGGCGATGCTCACCTGGCCGCGGGGGCCGGCATTGTGGGTCGCCGCCAAACAACCAATCACAGACCCGCGCGCTCGCCGCCATGTTTCTCTAGGATTCTTACGAAGTTGCTGTGAGCGTGGGGATTATTGTGGAATTGATGGGAGTTTAGCGGGCCAGGGCAGTATCGTAGCTCAAGATGGCCTCCGATGGCCCCGGCAAGTACAGGGAGAGGAAGAACAGGGCGGCCAAGCCCTATGATCGGCCCAAGGTGAGTGTTGTGTGTGTGTGTGTGTGGCTGGCCCCCCCTGCTCCTCCGCTCCTGCTGCTCCTGCTCCCTCCACACTCTCCTGCCTGTACACGGGTGTGGGGGCGGCCTGGGGGTGTGGGGCTGGTGAGGACTGTGGGGGGCTGCGTGGTGAGGGGCGGGGGGCCGCCTCCCCCTCCCCCCCGTCACAACAACCACCACCTCCATAGCTTCATGTTTGACCACAACACAAGTGTCTCGGGCCCTCTGTCAACACGGTGTTGGTGTGGCTGTGGTGTGGCAGACACTGTGGGGGCCCTGGTGTGGCTGCCACTCTAGGGGCCCTGGTGTGGCTGTGGTGTGGTAGGCACTGTGGGGGCTCTGGTGTGGCTGTGGAGTGTGAGTGTGTGTGGGGCAGGCACTGTGGGGGCCCTGGTGTGGCGTGTGTGTGGCAGGCTTTCTGGGGCCCTGTGTGTGGGGGAGCCCTGGTGTGGCGTGTGTGTGTGTGTGTGGGGGGCAGGCACTCTGGCCTGAGTGCCTGTCTGTCACAGAGCAGACAGCAGACTATGACCACATCGAGTTTAGACACTCACCATGCCGCATTGAGTCGCCACGCTCGCCTGCATAAAGCTCCGAGACTGGCCGCACTCGGCTCTCTGCTCTGCTCTACTCTACTCAAAATTTTCTCAATGTCTACGACTACCAACAACCGACGACTAACCAAGACTATTAAATAAATGTGAAAACCCACTAAACACTGTGTATCGAATCTACCCAACAACGTAACAGTCGTACGTTACATTGGTTACTGCTGTCTGCTCTGTGAGGCTCCTGTCTGTCACAGTTACTCAACCACTATGACAAAATCACATAAGCTTTAGAAGTGAAGCAAAATGCAATGTTGTATAGACAGACTTTACAAAGGCATTCGACAAATGTGACCATGGAGTGATCGCACACAAAAGGTCAATGAGAATAATCGGTAAAGTACGACGCTGGATACTCAATTTTCTGTCGAACAGAACAGAGAGTAATAATCAAATAAAATCGAGTCCAAGTGCAGTTAAAAGCTCTGTACCTCAAGGTACAGTCCTTGCACCACTGCTGTCCCTTGCTCTCATCTTAGATATAGACAAAAATACAAGTCACAGCTTCGTGTCATCCTTCGCAGATGGCACAAAAATCAGCATAAAAATTACCTCTGCTGAAGACATTGAAAACCCTCAAGCAGATATTAATAAAGTATTTGATTGGGTAGCAGAAAATAACATGATGTTTAACAGTGATAAATTCCAGTTACTCAGGTACGGCAAAAATGAGGACCATAAACATAATACAGGGTACAAAACACAATGAAATCTGCCCATAGTAGGAAAACAGCATGTCAAAGATTTGGGAACAATGATGTCCAACGACCTAACATTTAGGGAGCATAACCAAGCAAATATTACGTCAGCCAGAAAAATGATAGGATGGATTACGAGAACTTTCAAAACCAGGGATCCCATCACAATGGTTGTACTCTGCAAACACTTGTGTTGTCCCGTCTCGAGTACTGCTCGGTACTCACTTCCCCCTTCAGAGCAGGAGAGATTGCTGAAATAGAGGGAATACATATATTCCAGAAAATATACGGCACGCATAGATGTGATAAAGCTCCTAAATTATTGGGATTGTCTCAAAGCTCTCCAAAGGTACTCACTAGGAAGGAGACGAGAGATATCAAATAATATACATATGGAAGATACTGGAGGGCCAGGTCCCAAATCTACACAGTAAAATAAGAACATACTAGTGAACGATATGGAAGAAAATATGCAGAATAATACCAGTGAAGAGCAGGGGTGGGTGCCTTAGGCACAATCAGAAAAGACTGTATAAACATCAGAGGTCCAAGGTTGCTCAACATCCTTCCAGAGAGCATAAGAAATATTGTGGGAACAACCGTGGACATCTTCAAGAGAAAACTAGATTGTTTTCTAAAAAGTGCTGGACCAACCGGGCTGTGGGCCTGCGGGCCGCTCCAAGCAACAACCTGTTGGATAAACTCTCACAAGTTAGTAGGGGAGGAGAACAACACCCAGAACCCCATCAAGCAGGTATCAAGCAGGCACTCTGGAGGCCCTGGTGTGTGTGTGTGGTGTGGCAGGCACTCTTGGGGGGGGGGGCCTTTGGTATGGCAGGCACTTTTTGGCAGGCACTTTGGGGGGGGGGGGGGGGCCCTCTGGTATGACAGGCACTTGCGGCCCCTGGTATGGCAGGCGCACTAGGGGTCCTGGTGTGACTGTGGTGTAGTGTAATTACCTAAGTGTAGTTACAGGATGAGAGCTACACTCGTGGTGTCCCGTCTTCCCAGCACTCTGTCATAGATTACTTTGAAATTGCTGACGGTTTTAGCCTCCACCACCCATCTCACCTAACTTGTTCCAACTGTCTACCACTCTGTTTACAAAAGTGAATTTTCTTATATTTCTTAGGCAGCTTTATTTTATTAGTTTAAATCTATAACCTCTTGTTCTTGAAGTTCTAGGTCTCTGGAATTCTTCCCTATCAATGTTATTGATTCCTGTTACTATTTTGTACATAGTGATCATATCACCTCTTTTTCTTCTGTCTTCTAGTTTTTGCATATTTAATGCCACTAACCTCTCCTCGTAGCTCTTATCCTTAAGTTCTGGGAGCCACTTAGTAGCATGTCTTTGCACCTTTTCCAGTTTGTTGAAGTGCTTCTTAAGATATGGACACCATACAACCGCTGTATATTCCAGCTTTGGTCTAACAAAAGTCGTGAACAATTTCTTTAGTATTTTTCCATCCATGTATTTAAAAGCAATTCTGAAGTTTAGCATAGGCTCCTCACACAATGTTCTTAATGTGGTCTTCAAGTGACAATTTTTTATCTAGAACCACCCCTAGATCTCTTATCAAAATTCTTTAAAGATTTCTCACATAATTTATAGGTTGTGTGGGGGGTCTGTTCTCCTATTCCACATTCCATAACATGGCATTTATTCACATCAAATTCCATTTGCCAAGTGGTGCTCCATATACTTATTTTGTCCAGGTCTTCTAGAAGGTTATGGCAGTGATCTAAGTTTTGTATCTTCCCTATTATCTTAGCATCATCAGCAAACATGTTCATATAATTCTGTATTCCCACTGGTAGATTGTTTATGTAGACAATGATCATTACCGGTGCAAGAACTGAACCCTGTGGTACTCCACTTATGACATTTCTCCAGTCCGATACATGACTGATTACTGCCCTAATTTTTCTATCAGAAAATTTTTCATCTATGTTAGAAGCTTACCTGTCACCCCTCCAATATGTTCATTTCCAAAACAACCTCTTGTGTGGAACTCTACCGAAAGCCTTTTTTAGGTCTAGACAGATGCAGTCAACCCAACCATCTCTTTCCTGTAAAATCTCTGTGGCTCGATCATAGAAACTAAGTAAATTGTTACACAGGATCTTCCAGAACGAAAACTATACTGTGTCTGATATTGTATCGTTTTTCTCCAGGTGTTCTACCTGGAGTGTGTTGGCATGTATGACAGGAAGACGTCTAGTCTTCAACCCTTACACTGCTCAGGGGTCCTTGGACATTTACACCCCTGTGCGCAAGAAAAAAAAAATTCCAAAATTTTTTTTCGTCTTCTAAACATGTTAATTTGTGTCCCCTGAGCACGGGAAAAAAAAAAATCGTAGGTGACATATTTTGGGCGCAATTGACCGAGGAAGTCTGGCAAAAAGTGGGCGTTGACAGAGCGGTCGTCAGACCCGGTCAGCGTCACCCGCGTTGACAGATGGGCGTTGCCACAAAGATATTATTACCTAATTGTTTCAATGTCTCCGATTGATTTTTTCTTAGTTTTTTTGCAGTAATATTATTCAATAGTGTGTATTGTAATATAATTATATAATAAAAGTGGTTAATAATCGCTATACTCAAAAGTATGATGTGCATATTAGTGATTCAATTATTATGTTTATAAAACAATAAACAAATAGTTTTGCTACTATTACACTCTATACACAGGTTATATATAAGTATTGGCATGTTTTGGTCACCATAACGAACCACTAAGTTGGTATTGAGAGTCGAAAAGCAACGAGTAGTTACCGCCACACACCAGCCAGCCACTCGCTGCCACTCCCTCAACACACGCACTAAACTTTCTCCCCCAACAATACCATTTGTGGTGTTATTACACTATATACAGACGTTATATATAAGTATGTATATATTTTGTTCACCACAACTGTACAGCTAAGCTGATATAGTTAGTTCAGGCACTAAGAGTCGTCGCTATACACAGATGGCGGCTGGCGGCTCCCTCACTCTTTCAAGGTCACACGCACTAAACTTTCTCCCCCAACAATACCTTTTGCAGTGTTATTACCCTATATACACATATTATATATAAATATCTACATGTTTTATGCACCGTAACTGTACACCTAAGCTTGTAGTGCGCCCAAAGAGCATAGTGGCCACCCTCTACACAGCTAGACAAATCGTGCAGACGACGTCACCCATATGGCTCCTCCCAGCATAATCCTTTTGCTGTTATTACACTAATACACACATTATATATAAGTATCTACATTTGTGTTCACCATAGAGAACCACTGACCTGGTATGGTGAATGCAAACAATAACAGGTAGCCACACAGTCAGTAAACGATGCTGTCTCCCTCCATCTTTCAGCATCACTCCTCCCACAGCGCTAATTATTACAACAATCCTGCTATTATCACAACCCTGGTTATTTATATCACAGTCATTGGTCATCTGTAATATTGTCATTGCTAAATAATAACAATTATATATTTATTTTGACATTTTTCGGCGATGCTGTGGTCACAAGCTGAACATCAATGCTGTTCGCTCATGCTGCGTGCGCCGGCCTTGGTTGCTCCAACAGTACTGTGCCTCTCACACCTGAGAATATTGCCCACGATTTTTTTTAAAAATGGCATCTGTTTACAAGAGCCCTGAGGAAGCTGCTGTGAACCCCGT